TGTTTGTTCTTTTCTTATTAATCCCTATGTCATGTTTAAGTCATTTAAAAAATTGCAAAAAGAAATAATAAATAAAAATTACAAATACATTTTGAATGGTTTTTCATAAAAAGATAAAACATAATTTTATGGGCAAGTTAACCAAAACACTAAATCTGTGAGGTGTACTAATGTTTAAGTTAGCCATCTATGCAGTTTTTCCTCATAAGATTACAGCTTTTAGAATTGTAGTATTTTATATATATCCATTAAGTATAATCAAGACTGTCTAGCCCTAGCTGGTTTAGCTCAGTGATAGAGCATCGGCCTGCAGACTGAAGGGTTCCGGTCAAGGCACATGCCTGGGTTGCGGGCTCAATCCCCAGTAGGGGGCGTGTAGGAGGCAGCCGATCAATGATTCTCTCTCATCATTGATGTTTCCCTCTCTCTCCCTCTCTGAAATCAATAAAAATATTTTTTAAAAAGACTGTCTAGAGTTTCTCCATTCACGTTTTTTTCACAGATAAACCTGAATGATTAAACGCAGACCCCACTCAGTGATGGCTGACCTCATATTTACTAAGATTCCAAATTCTTTCCAGTCAAAACCGCCTGAATTAATTCCCTATAGTCTTTCAACTATAGTCACAGAGGCCACCACAGTACACATTTGGTATGTGTTTTAGTTTTGAAGGAAAATTTTCAGATCTGAAAATGCGTGCAACACGAAAAGCTAACTTCTGAAAGGATGCTGTCAGTCTTTAAGGACGTTACACTTTACCTTGGTGAAGATGGCCAGAGGCATGCCGTACTGGTCCTCTTCTAAACCGGAAATGAGCCCTGGGAGCAGGACCACCTGGCCCATACTGGCTTGAGGCTGTACAGTAATCGGAGCACTGTCTGAGGGCACCGACTCCCTGGGAAAGGAGTTTGTCTGTTCTGACCCCACCTGGTCCCGTTCTTTCAAGGTGGGTTCCTCTAAGACGCTAGGATCCAAGGTCTCCCAGTCACTTTCTGAAGACTCTGGAGATGGACGAGAAGGAGGTTTCAAATACGGACTGGTCTCGCCGAGTCCCTGCCCTTTGCTGCTGTCTTCTACTGGGAACAAAGGTTCTTCCATTGTGATGGCAGCATCTCCAACGTGGTTTCCTGTCGGGATTTTCTGGACAGTTTCCGAGTTGGTATATGCAATGTTAGGAGCAGACACAGACACAAAGTCGTCTGCAGGCGGGGTGTTTTCCTGAAGCCCAGCATCTTCAGACATGCTCTTTCGAGGCTTGTACTGAGAACAGTCCCTGAGACCATGTTCGATCATGCCTAGGACGTAAACGATGGGAGGACAGCTTAGTTTATAATGAGGAGGAAGAAAGTAAGAGTTGTGTATTCTATTCTAAGCAGCAGAACTCTCCTATAAAAATGTTAAAAGCTATGCCTGCATACATTCCAATGAAAGATAATGAAAATGTCAGACAACAAAAAAACTACTGCCGAAACAACAATGTCATATTAACCCTGATGAGTTTATCCTTCAACACTTTTACCACTGAAAGTTCCAGCACAAGCCAAACAACAGAAAGAATAGATACTGCTACCCTCTTACCTGGAAAAAGGGATAACACAGTCATCAGGGCACCCACCAATTTATTCACTGGAGAAATATAAAAGAGAACCTGAAATGGATTCAATGACAATCAAATTAGAACATCAGAGTCCACAACGATACTTAAAAAAAAAAAAAAAGAGGGAGAGCGGACAAAACTCTTCTTTACAGAAGATTAACAGCTAATTAATGACAGAATTAGAAAATCACCAGGTAAAAATTACCAGTGGACATTAAAACTATTGGGAAGGGTTGCTGGACAACAGGATATTCACAGAGATTCAAATTCATCAACCCAGAGGTAATCTATTAATTGTAAAGGGAAAACCAAGTACCTGACTATGAAGAAATCTGGCAACCACCACCTTACTCAAACAATTAAACTTCACATCAAAAATAATAGTACAGGAGGTGGGTGGGAAGAGATCAACCAAAGGCCTTGTATAGTACAGTTATGGGCCCCTTGAAGTGGCACCCTGAAGACACACCACCACTTTGGTCCTCAGATTTTAAAAAAACAAAAAACCCAGCCCTGACTGGTTTGGCTCAGTGGATAGAGCGTCGGCCTGCGGACTGAAGGGTCCCAGGTTCGATTCCAGTCCAGGGCATGTACCTTGGTTGCGGGCACATCCCCAGTAGGGGGTGTGCAGGAGGCAGCTGATTGATGTTTCTCTCTCATCAATGTTTCTAACTCTCTATCCCTCTCCCTTCCTCTCTGTAAAAAATCAATAAAATATATTTTTTTAAAAACCAGTTTATAGGACATTATTATGACATATGTGGAAATTTAAAAATGGACTTCAATATTAGGTATCATTGATTGTATTAATGTTAAATTTCTTAAACCTAAAAATGATATTTTGGTTATGTAGGTATACATACCCTTAATTCTTAAGAGATATATCCTCAAGTATTCAGGGATAAAGTATCATGATATCTACAAATGACTTTAAAATTATTATGATTTTGGGGGAAACGAACATATATAAAGCAATAACGCAAAAGTGACAAAATGTTAACAACTGGTAGATACAGATGAAGAGTGTAAAAGTGTTCACTATATTATTATTCTATCAACTTTTCTGTAGGCTTGAATTTTTTAGAATAAAAATTGAGAAAAAAATCTGAAACAGGATTCAGTTAGTGATTGCATTGAAACAGTGGTAATAATTAAATTCGTTGAAAAAAAAACAAGCAAAGATTTGCTTAGGTGAGTTTTTTCTCTTTTAAACAATTACATCATTTAGTGACACTAAAGTGCTATCTCACAAAGCATAGCACCCACAATTGTGTTCTCCTTACACACTGGTCTTCTTTGAGGAGTAGCTTGCAAGGAAGAAAGTAAATCTTGCATTAAAAAGGATGTCCTCATTCTATTAAATTGCTATAAAGAATGTAGGGGTGAGTTGCCACATTAGATAACGTTTATCTTATCATAAATGCCATTGCATGTAACTAGGCTAAGTATTATTTTGCAAAACTTTTGTTTCAGATACATATATCCCTGTGTGCTCGAGGTTGCCATGTAAAACATTTTTTTTTTATTATGGGTTGCAATAAAAAAGTCTGAAACCTATAACTCGACAACAAAAATATAAACAACCTGATTAAAAAAGAGGCTATGGACTTGAATGGACATTTCTCCAAGAAAAATATACAAATGGCTGACAAGCACCTGAACAGGTGCTCCATCTCACTAATCATTTGGGAATGCAACTCAAAACCAGGAGACCCTGCCTCACCTACTAGGATGGTTACTATCCAAACGCAGAAAATGACAAGTGTTGATGAAGATGTGGAGAAACTGGAACCTTTGTGCTCTGTTGGTAAGAAGGTAAGCGGTGCAGCTGTTATGGATAACAGTGTGGTGGGTCTTCATATTGAAAATGGAACTACCATAGGATCCAGCGATACCCCATCTGGATATAAACCCCAGAGAACTGAGAGCAGAGCTGAATTCCATAACACTGTCTCCTCAAAAAAGAGCGCATGAACTTATGCTTCTATGGCAGTGAACAGGAATATGGGCTTCAAAAGAAAAAAGAAATAAACAAAATAAATGAATAAATAAATAAACTAAAATAAAAAAGAATGTGGGCTTCAGCTCATCACAATTTGATAGGCAAAAACATTAATTTACACTTTATCATTAGTTTTAATTGTATATAATATTTAAGAAATGTCAGTAAATGTTAAGTATTCCATCCTGCCAAATCTCACCTTTTTTTCAAGAAGAATTAATTTAAACAGAATTAAGACCTAAACAAAAAAAGAAAGACTGCATTAAAATAAGGAATGCAAGCTTATTATTTGCCTTTTCCTGTCTGCAAAGATATCATATATCATTTAATTAATAATATTAAAATAATTACAGTGCTTTAAAAATTACATTGAAAATCATGAATTTATACTAAGAAATTAAATATTATCTGTGTCCTCTAAAAAGTGTGAAAACCACTTAAATCTCTAACAAATTGTGTTTTTGGAAGGAGTTGTGCCATTTTTGCTTGAAATATTGCAAGCTCCTAAAAGGGTAGGAACTACTCATTTATTTCTGAACTAGAGGCCCAATGCACAAAAATTTGTGCAAGAGTAGGCCTTCTTAGGGTCTCAGGTTTGATTCCAGTCAAGGGCATATACCTTGGTTCCTGGCACATCGCTGCCAGCACCAGCTTCCCTCTGGCACCTGGGACCCAACACGGGCTTCCCTCCTCCGGCCACCAGCAGGCACCCGGGACCCCGGCTTCATCAGGAAAGATATCTAGAATGATGTCCAGAAGACATCTGGTCTAATAAGCATATTACCTTTCTATTATTATAGATATGTCCAGAGCATTCACCCAACAGATACCCAATAAATGCTTGTTAAATGATCCACGTGTGCAGGCCCTAGTCAACACATGCTTCAGTACTAAGAGCAGAAGTAATACATATAGATATTCTACTGGAAAATGTTTCACTCATAAGGCAACAAACAAAATATTCTGCAAGATTAAAACATGTGTCTTCCCTCTCTAACTTCGTGGTACCTGAAATTACAAAGACAATGAGAAAAAGTACTCTATTCTACATCACTGACAGTATTTGTATACATTAGAAATCTCTCTCATACAAGCACTACCAGCACTTTTGGCTCTGTGTCATCACGAGAGATGTCTTAGAAGAGCTGAGATGTGGTCATGCCACCATCTGCGATGGACCGTGTAGCACATGGGATCTGCCCAGTTTAATGTGCGCACTTTTAGGACAGAAGTTAAATACGTACCTTGTGTCGAAAATGAAGCACAAGATCCCGAGGAGACAGACCTACAAAGTTAACGGAAAAGGAACCTGTAACTACACGCTGCTGTTTTGTCAAAAAAGTGTTTTTTTTCTCCTCAAAGGAGAGTCAAGGAAAAAAAGAAAGTAGGAATATGCAAGTATTAAAATACTATACAGTATCTGATCACGTATACATGTACCCAGAATTTATCACATTACTAACAGTCAAATGCAGCATTGCAATGATGAAAAGGCAGAATTGTCTGCAGTGAGGGCAGTATCCTAAATCTGGGTTGCCCAATCCAGTGGCCACGGAGCCCTTGAAATGTGCCAAGTGGGACTGACAAACTAACCTTTAATTTTATTTAATTTGTTTTACTAATGTTATACTAATGAACAAAATAAACTGATGAACAAAATAGATCCAGAGGCATGGATACATGGAACAGACTGACAGCTGTCAAAGGGGAGGGGAATGAGGGACTGGATGAAAGAAGGTGAAGGGATTAGCCAAAGAGCACATATGCTTAGCCCCTGGACACAGACAACAGTGTGGCGATGGCCAGAGGGAAGTGGGGGGGGATGGGTGAGGTGGGGAAAGGTGGGGAAAATGGGGACAGGTGAAATAGTGTCAACAATTTTAAAAAAGTAAAAAAAAAAAAAAATCCTATTATAACCTTTGCCAATATAAATACTGGCTAAGATGATGTGTAAGGAAGCAGCAGCATCATACGTTGAAGAGTTTAGTTCCATACGGAAATGTAATTCTGATCATGAAGTTTCACATGCAACTAACTCGGTGCTCCAAACGAAAAGAAGTGCGGCGTTTCTTCCCACTTGTCAAAAGCTACTCACCCAGATACACTTGGGACCCCTCCAATGACGTTCCTCCCAAGGAGCTGTTCATATGTTCATAGAGTTCCTACAAAACAGATTCCGTTTAGACATTTTGGGCACTGAATTAGAACTATGATGATCAGGAAGAAACTGGTTCTTTAGTTGAGGCCGTTTGTTTTGCCAGGCCCTAAATGTATTTCTTTTTATTTTTAAATATATTTTTATTGATCTCAGAGAGGAAGGGAGCGGGAGAGAGATAGAAACATCAATGATGACAGAGAATCATTGATCAGCTGCCTCCAGCATGCTCCCTACTGAGGATCGAGCCTGCAACCCAGGAATATGCCCTTGACTGCAAATTGAACCTGGACCCTTCAGTCCGCAGACCGATGCTCTATCCACAGAGCCAAACTGGCTAGGGACAGGCCCTAAATTTAGAAACAATCCAGGTCTCTCTGAAGACTTGCCTTGCTCTTTCCATCCCTGCCTCTACATTTTAGACCTTGATTCATTCACATGGTGCTAAGGACTCCTGGATAAATTGCCCCTACTTCCCTGTTAAATACCTAACTGTCCTAGTCTCACTAGAATCCATGAGAGACCCATGTTCTACCTAGTCATGGCAGCCTTGAGAAAAACATGCTCTCCATTTCAATAAAACAGTCATGGAGTTTTCCAGGGTTTTGCAATGGGGGTTAGGAGCCAGAAGCCGGACACATAAGCATCCTGAGCAGGGTATTAATAAGACAGATAGATTTGGAGAAGCAATGCCATAGCAAAGGGCTTTTATTAATAGAAACATTTATGTCAGTTGCAGTCATTTGCATTATTTCCTAATAAAAGGCAGGTTGGTTGCATGTAATAAGTATGAACTGTACATTTTGGGCCGATCCCTATCCCTTCAATGTTATTTTCAAAGAAGAATGCCTTTCTTAAGGTAATAAGTGATTATCTTTCACAATATTACTGACAGGATTTACTCGATTCATCCATCTGTCTTCAGCCAAACACATCTGCAGCGGGGTACAAATTTACCTTTAGAATGGAAATTTGGGAAAAATCCTTCTCTTCAAAATATGCATGTGTAATGAGCTGAAGTTTTGCTTGGAGCAAGCCATAGAGAGGCTTAAAGAAAAAAACAAAGAAAACTGCCGTTAGTATGATAAGAGTTAAAAACAAACACCCCACAGCCTTTCAACTTGAAGAGAACAGGAAGAAGGAAGTTAGTAACTCTCAACGTCAGGGTCCTATTATTCACGACTGAGAGCCCTGACCTCACTCCTGCTAGCTGCCTGGCTGGGTTGAAGGTGCTGCATTCACTCAGAGGGCAGAGGTTGAGTGTGGGCACCAATCTCCTAGGTCTCCCCATCACTCAGCCGCATAACTGGGCACGTCACCCCTGCATACCTGCTTGCTGCTGCGAACAAGGGTATCTGAAAAGACAAGACCTTAAGGAGCTGCTTTCAGAATCAACCAACCAGGGTGAAGCACTTAGTAGAGTATTGGGCACCCAGAAAGACGTAGATGTTAGCTATTATTCTCATAATTTGAATCATAGTCTAATTCTGCACATGGATCTGCTGGCTTTGGAGACATTTAACCATCCTGGAAGCAGCCAGTTCTTACAGCTAGTTGAACATCCACAATTACACTTCGTTTTCTGTCCTCTGTGGAGGCTTGCCTCTAGTCTGTGTCCTCTATCATGATATTTTTGTATATACTTGGACAAGGTTATTCTTTAGTTCTTAATTCTCCTATTTAAGACCCTCTCTTACCATTTCCATCCTTTTATTCTTAATGTTCTTTTCTAGATGTTTTCTGCTATGTCCTTTTTAGGATGCAGAGACCAATGCTGCATATATTTTTTTAATTAATTAAGACAGGTAATACTGGAATAGTTCCCCCACTACTCCCAGTATTCCTGCTACTATATCATTATTACCATCTGCGTATAAAGTCAGCATATTTTAATCTATAGACTACCATGCCCTATGAACCACCGACCCCCTCAGTGTGAGCTGGCTCTCTCCACTCCCCATGCCTGTCTAGAGACGGACAGGATAGGTTTTCAGCCCAATTTTACCACTTAGTAGTTATATGTCTACGAGAGACATCGTTTTCTCTGAAATGTATCGTTATTTGTAAAATGAGAACAGTAAATACTTGTATCTCACAGTTGGTATGAGGATTATATCTAAAATGACAATTATATCTAAAAAGTGTCTGATATAGAATTAATACCTGACACATAGGCACTAGATAAATGACATTTATTTTCATTATAACTGTTCTTTGAAGAATGATTACTGAGTAAGCTTTTCAACACCCTGCATTTGCTTTAATACCTAGTACTCCTATGCTTTCTTTTCGTTGGTCATCTGACACAATATAAAAAAAGTATTTCACTGATGTATATTTTTCAGGCCACCCTTCTAGAAACTGTACACGGATCAGGTTAGCAATCTACCACTTTCCTGATATTTATAATCATTCTTTTCCTTGACTATTCTTGCCCTATACTTAAAGTTACTATCTTGGAAGAAATATTCTGATCCTCAAAATCTTATTGTTAAGGCCAGTAAGTATTAAATTATTATTCTTCAGATATTTTCTTTGTTTTTAAACTTAGTAATAAAAACCAAGATAAATTATCTCTTGCAAAACTCAACTTATATTAAACAAACTACATTTAAATTGTCTGTGGGTATAAGAAATTGGATAGTTGCAAGAGAAATAACTGAACAAAATCTACACACATTTGGTGACTAAGCTAGTAAAATATTCTCATCTTTTGTTTAGGTTAATGGCAGAAACATCTATACAGTAGGTCCTCGGATTACGTCAGAGATCCATTCCTACGGTGCAATGTAATGCAATTTTCACCGTAAGTCGGAACCCACCTACATAAGCACCCACGTCACTCACATGGAGCACATACACAGCAGTAATGAAGTGAAACAACAACAAAAATTTAAAAGAAAGATAATAATTCCTGACCTTTACTTGTGGTAAATAAATAATAAAACACATAAAGCATATATGTACATATGTCGAAATGACGGAACTTTTTTTTTTATAAATAAATGGGAGATGGCGACACAACCACGAAACGACATACGTCTAGTCCGATGTAACCCGAGGACTGTCTGTATTCAGTAATCATATAGATCTAAGGTAATTAACATGATAGAGACCTGGATTTTCCCCACAAAGGAAGTTTGGGTATTATATATTACATGTAGGCTTAGGTATCTGGTGTTATTGGTAAAGGTGTTATCATCCCGTTAGTAATAAAAGTGGAACATCACACTTTTTTCTGTGATTTAATGAAGAGAGATATAAAAAAGTAAATGTTATATATTCCTTTAAAAAAATAAAGTTAAAATGATGATACACTTGCATCTGATCAACTTGTTCACAGAAGAAGCAATTTAAAGCACTATTATAGTGCATTTCATTATGTACTTCCCTTCCTCAAACATTTTCAGTTTTTAAAGAGCAGGTTAAGGCTACAATTTCATCATAAAAGAGTCATGCACTTCTAGTATCGTCAATAAAATCTGAATATGATTATAGTACTTAGAATTTTAGTAAAATGTTATTTATTCAAAGTCTTGGGAACAAAACAAAAATGTATAAATGAAATGTACATTTCGATCAAGTGCCACCTCCTGCCCCACAGCCTATCTATGAGATCTTCTTCTCTGGGCGGAGGGCAAATGAGCATGAAACTGCTGAAGGGCAAAGAGAAAGAGGAGCTGCGAGAGTCTAAATATTGAGCCCCTGGAGAATCTGGATGTATTTTCTGGATCTGTCCTTAGACTAACAGTGCTGATCCTCGAGTGGGAATCTGTCATGAGAGTTTAACAAACACGTTAATAGGGAGCGATCTGGTTTCTTACCAGCTTGCTTAGAACACAGACGCTTTTCTGCACGGTCTCTCTGGTGACATCTGCATGCCGGACCTTCAACGCCTATTACAAATAGTCATTATTAGAAATACTTAAAAATAACCATTCTTCAACATAAAAATAGCAAGTAGATAGAAAAAACATTTCTTGCATTTGGTTAATTACATTCAAAAAGCATTTACTGAGAATCTCAGAAAATGTTCATTGGATGAATAAGTGTCCGTCGGCCAGGGCACTACTTGCTGGAATATGGCAGGCGAAGGGAACAGTGAGAGACAGTTGGTATTATGGTGGACAGACGGAATTTACAGTCTGACGGAGAATACTTTATGTGCAAGTTGCCACACTCAATGCAAATCAACCATCCTTGTTCTGGTTGTAAAATGGGCTGCCCTTTCAGAACCACTGTTTCTGGTGAGAAGGAGATAGTTTAAGAGACGACAAAACAGCTTTGTGAAGGTGGCTGTCCTCGGCACATGGAGTCTGCTCTGGAGGCTGGTATTGCAGCCAGCTCTGAGCCAGGGACACATGCCTCCAGGACCCCGAGGATGACCGTGCGAGCTCTCTCCTGCTCTCCGCTCGCAGAAAACAACCTGCTGAGATCAGCTGCAGGCGAGGCTGTGAGGGAAGTGAGAATGACTTCCCTCCCTACGCACTGCCTGGCAGCTCTGGGATCTGTCCTGAGGACCAAGGAGCTTCCCTGCCTTCCACTGGCTGAGGACTAGTGGTCGCATGAAGCCGGGAGTGGAGCCTTCCCTCAATCTGTTTCTCCCTCTCTACCTTGCTTGGATTCATTCATCAGATCCCACCTCCTTCAAAGGGAATTCAAGTCCTTCTCTTAGGCTCTGGGCCCCTCTGATATCTGGCTTATCTGCCTGGTCATCAGAGGAGGCTAGACAAACTTGGAGAAAAGGGCAGCCCCAATATACTCTGGAGTGGGTCAGACCCGGGGGAGGGGGACAGGCAGTATGAACTGCCACCTCAAGGTTACACAGAGCATGGGAACTGCTGATGGAACTGTAGGGGAGTAGAGGGAGTAAAGGAACGGGCTCCCAAGAAAGGACAGTAGCTCAATTCATCTCATAGAAAAGCGTGTAAGGGTGACAGTCTGTGAAGAAATCAAATGCACAAAGCTACCATACAGAATCCCCTCCCGCAAAACCCCAGGCTGCTCAGAAGCAAACCATAAAAGGGGAAGCTGCCCACCGTGGTGCATGTGAATTTATTAATTAGAGCTATTAAGCTGGCAAGCAGTTTAAGAATGATCACAATCTTACCCATAGATAATTAAGATAACGGGCAAGTAGTGTGGAGCTACTCTAAGTACTTTCTACTACTTCTAAAATGCTGCTTAAAAAAAAACAAAAAACAAAAGACACCCATTACCACACCATTTCTCTAAGTTATACACCAAACACTAGAACTAGGAAGTTCAAGGACACCATGAAATTTAAATACAGTATTTTCCAGACAAATGACTAAGTTTGGTATCACTATCTGAAAACAATGTGCAAAATATCACACGATACACATATAACAATAATCACCCATATCAACTCACAAAGACATTTATGTGAATAAATTGTTACTATTGGGCAAACAGCTACAAACCGTTTATAAAAATTTAAAAACACTATCACAGGTCCCACATATGCATGTCCCCAAATTTTACATTTTAGGTGGGCAATAGCTAAGAAAGAATTTTCAAGGTTTTTTTTGTTGTTCACTGTAACTGTCATACCTTGGCTTCAATCTGCCGATAGCAAGAGATACCATATACGGTGGCTCCATTTCCATTTCTGTGTGGC